ATATATATATATATAACAAATTTGTAAAAAAGTTTCAGTATGACAGCAGAATATGAGACAGATTTCTGTGAAAATAATTGTGCTTCTCCCAGTGGTCCTACAGCCATTTGCAGAAATACGCCGCTCCCGGTCAGAAACAGCCAATCGGAGCCAAAGGGAATGTCTCCCCAGTGTAATTTACTCACTGCTCACGCCCTCCCCACGCACAGCGCGTACCCTCAGTCGAGCTTGCTGTTGTGTTGCAGCTGGTGCTAATGGCAGAGAAACAAGAAAACTGCTAATTTCTGAGAGGTCGCTTGTTCACATCTGGTGCCGCCTTGGGGGAGGACTGTAGAGTGACAGAGAGTGAGGGGGAGGGACCTAGCAAGTGTGCTTGTTCAAATTTTTAGGCGAAGTCCACAGTTATCTTAAAACGCCAAAAAAAAAAAAACGCCATACAGCAGCTTTAACTTCACTGCTCTCATTTTGGTTCAACTAAACAGCTGACGACCTCAAATAGACATTTTATATGTAACAACTAAATATTTGTGCATATGAAGGAGATTAATATGCTCAACATGACAGGAAGACATTCAGTTTTACAAAACTTTCTTCTTTATTGCTTTAGGACGACTGACACATCCGAAAAAAAAAAAGTCCTGCAAAACTACTTCTTTACAGACGGTTACATAAAGACAATAAATAGCTTCCTTCTGATATAAAATAAATCATTCTTCTTGTGGAAAGTTGACAGTGGCATAGAAAGCATGTGAACTGCTAACTAATGTGTTTTGAAGAAAACTTCTGTGGGAGCCGCACATTACTTACTGTTTCCATTAACACATGACTTCTGTTGGTGCGTATCCTAACCCATTCTAGTTTTTTTTTTCCCCTGCACATAATAATCAACACACATTTACAAAGATTTACAGCACTGCATTGTGGGAGATGGGGAGTGCCCATTGGGATATGCTGTTGCCAAGCAACAAGAGGAAAAGATAAAGCTAGTCGTTAGTTTCTAAAATGAGACCTAGGTATAACCAAGAGATTGGGACTGTTGGTGGTGTGGGCT